ACTTATTAAACTTACCATTGGAAAGTATAATAATATTATAAAAAATGAAAATCAATTTTTAATAACTTCAATTTTAAAAGAAAGATTGAGAAAAAAATAAATTAAAAAAATAAAAATTAATTTAAGTCAACATAAATTAACATGTTAAATAATTAAAATAAATTTATAAAAAATAAATAAAAATTATAAAAATTAATTTTTAATCCATCTAGTAAACTAAATACCTAACCTATTCACCTAATAAAAATATTTTGTCTAGTAATTAATTGAAATCCTGTATATGAAAACTAATCTAAAAATATCGTTGACGTGCGTGTGTGCGCGCGTGTAGCAACAGTAGTGATTGGCTATGGTTACAGTGGTTAGAGTTGTGACTGGTTATTATTAGCTTATTTGCATCCTTAAATTGTTATAACATATGTTTTTTAAAATATTAATGTGATAATATATTAAATGATTTTTTTAAAAAATAAAAATAATATTATATTATATCAATTCAGAATAACTTATTAAATTTATAATTTGAATCATAAAAGTATAATAATTTTATAAAAAATAAAGTAAAATAAATTATAAAAACTAATTTTTAATAACTTTAATTTTAAAAGAAAAATTAAGAAAAAAAGTAAATTAAAAAGAATAAAAAATAACTTAAGTTAATATAAATTAATATATTAAACATGTGTTTCAGGTTTTAAATCAGAATAAGTTTATAAAAAATAAATAAAAAATTAATTTTTAATTAATCTAATATTAAAAAAAAAAACTCGAGTGCCTAACCTATTAAAAATATTTTGTCTAAGAATGAATTGAAATCCTGCATAGGAAAACTAATCTAAAAATATCATTGATGTGTGTGTGTAGTAACAGTAGTGATTGGCTATGTTTACAGTGGTTAGAGTTGTGACCGGTTATTATTAGCTTATTTGCATCCTTAATGAAACGTTGTCTCTCTTTGTCTCCACATGCACCCTCCTGGTCGTGCGCATGGACTTTGCTTTCTCAATTATTATATAACTAGTTTCTTGCATGTGATGCTGCTCTCTCAAGCAAAAACAGCTCATATTCATCAGTCCTCGACATCATTAATAATCATCTTCACTTATCATTGTCATCTAGTACTTTTGCTTTTCTCGCTGTAGTCTGATTTCCCAAGGATGTAACTGATTCTGTCTTCTTCTTCTTCCTTTGCTTCTTGGTATTGAATATTCATGGGGATTGCTAAGATTGTTTTACGGGGAAGACAGAGGGACTAAGAGTTAAGCTGACTAGTTGTAGATGTGGTGGATCTTTGGCAAGTTTTGAAGTGTTCTTCATTCAATCAGTAAGTTTCGTTTCTTTAGAACTGAACCCCTCTTTTCAATGTCTTGATTTCTGTTAACTGTCCTTTACTGCTGCCTGCTTGGTTTCCGAGAAAAAAAAAATGAAGGAAAGGGAAAATGACAAGGGATAGTTGTGCTAGTGTATGGGATTCTGAATCTTGATTTCTTCTATTTACACACTTTCACAGCGTCCAAGGATGTTTGCTGAGGAGAGCTGCAAAAGTCAATAAAGAACCATGGTGAAGAGAGCTGCAAAAGTCAATAAAGAACCATGATAGTGTATAGTTAGGTCTCCTAATCATGCTTTAGCTGCTAATTTTGACTAAATGTGTCCTAATACTAAAAGTCTTGGCTATTAGTCGTCATCTTTCTAGACAATTTCTAAGACATTTATCTGCTTCATAATTATGTCAACCAGCATATCCTAGCGACGACCATCTCTGTTTCTGTTTCAGTTTCTAACTATAGTACTTCTTTTAACCAAATTTATGTGGATGTGACCGGGATTTGTGTAGAAACTTTGCTGTTCAGTTGCAAATGTGCTCAACAGTTTGGTTCTGAGAAAGAATGAACATGAACAAGGGCCTGTTCTTCATTTTATCTGCCTTTGTCTTCTTTGGAGCAGTTTTCTTGCCAACCACCGCTGACCCGGTTGAAGATAAGGAAGCTTTATTATATTTCCTTCACAATATTCATCTTTCTCGCCCTGTCAATTGGAAGGAGAGCACTTCTGTGTGCAATAACTGGACTGGAGTGTCCTGTAGCAATGATCACTCTAGAGTTACAGCCCTCGTGTTGCCAAGAGTAGGATTTCGTGGCCCAATTCCACCCAACACTCTTGGTCGTTTGTCAGCAATTCAGATCCTAAGCCTCGGATCTAATGGTATATCAGGTTCTTTCCCTTATGATGAATTCTCCAAGCTCGGAAACTTAACTATCCTTTTTCTTCAATCCAACAACTTCTCTGGCCCATTGCCTTCAGATTTCTCAATTTGGAATAATCTCACTATTCTTAATCTTTCCAATAATGGCTTCAATGGGAGAATTCCACCTTCAATATCAAATTTGACTCACCTCACAGCTTTGAGCCTTGCTAACAACTCCCTTTCAGGCAATATTCCTGATATAAATGTCTCTAGTTTGCAACAGCTAGAATTAGCCAACAATAATTTTACTGGAAGTGTGCCCATGTCTCTTCAAAGATTTCCAAGTTCTGCATTTTCTGGTAACAATCTTTCATCAGAAAATGCCCTTCCTCCTGCACTTCCAGTTCATCCACCAAGTTCTCAAGAATCAAAAAAATCCTCAAAACTAAGGGAACCTGCAATCCTGGGGATTGCTCTAGGTGGCTGTGTACTTGGGTTTGTGGTTATTGCTGTGTTGATGGTCTTGTGCCGCTTTAAGAAAAACAGGGAAGGTGGGTTAGCAACAGAGAAGAAAGAATCGTCTTTGAAGAAAACAGCTTCAAAGAACCAAGAGCAGAACAACAGGCTATTTTTCTTCGAGCATTGTAGTCTTGCATTTGACTTGGAGGACTTGTTGAGAGCATCTGCAGAGGTGCTTGGGAAGGGAACGTTTGGAATAGCTTATAAGGCCGCCCTCGAGGATGCATCTACAGTGGTGGTGAAAAGGTTGAAGGAAGTGACTGTGCCAAAAAAGGAGTTTGAGCAGCAAATGATTGTGGCTGGGAGTATTAGGCATGCGAATGTGTCTCCACTAAGGGCATATTACTATTCCAAGGATGAGAAACTTATGGTGTATGATTTCTATGAAGAGGGCAGTGTGTCTTCAATGCTACATGGTATGTCAAAAGCCTTTTACAGTGATACACTGTTTTCCCGCTTTCAGGGATATTACTCATAGATAAATGTTACATTTTGCAGGTAAGAGAGGAGAGGGTCACATTCCTATAGACTGGGAAACAAGGTTGAAGATCGCAATTGGTGCAGCAAGGGGCATTGCTCATGTCCACACGCAGAATGGTGGCAAACTTGTCCATGGAAACATAAAATCCTCAAACATTTTCCTCAATTCCCAAGGATATGGCTGTGTGTCCGATATCGGTTTGGCAACACTGATGAGCCCAGTGCCCCCACCAATGATGAGGGCTGCGGGCTATCGAGCCCCAGAAGTAACAGACAGTAGGAAAGCAGCCCATGCATCTGATGTCTACAGTTATGGGGTCTTGCTACTTGAGCTTCTCACAGGAAAATCTCCCATGCACGCCACAGGTGGTGATGAAGTTGTTCACTTGGTGAGGTGGGTGAATTCTGTGGTAAGGGAGGAGTGGACTGCTGAAGTATTTGATTTAGAGCTCTTAAGGTATCCCAATATTGAGGAGGAAATGGTAGAGATGTTACAAATAGGAATGGCTTGTGTGATGAGGATGCCAGAGCAGAGGCCCAAAATGCCTGATGTGGTGAAAATGGTGGAGGAAATTCGGAGACTAAGCACCGAAGACCGGCCATCCACTGAAAGTAAATTAGAAATTGCAGTCGCAACCCCATCACCACAGGCAGCTGAAGTAGCTTCTACCTCTTCAGCTCAACAGTGAGATTGTTTCTTCTTGCTATTAGTTGCAATACAATTTTTGTTTTTGATTAATTGATTTGGGCTGTTGGTTTCTCAATTAATTGAGTTTATTTGTATATCTTCATATTTCCGTGGCAAATTTTGTCATAGAATTAGTTCTGAGCCACCTGCTCTAAAGCCCCCAACTAAAGGCAAAGACAAGATGGGTTCTTTTCTGTTGTATTATTTAGTCAGAACTTCAATGTTATGCCTATGGGTTTATGTAGTTTTTGCAGCATGATGTAACTCAATCTCTCAATGTACATGAGCGGGTCCAGGATCCTTGACTCGTGGCTTTACATTGAATACCTTCATGTGCCAAAACCTACCTAATCAGTGGCATGGAACCATATAAACTGCTCCTTTAAATAGTAAGTGGATGGACCTAGCTAGATGTTTCAAGAATCATGACCACATGCATCTTCTCCTAATCTCCAGTCGTGTGTAATTTAATATAAGTATAGTATCAGGTCAGGTTGCATTGCAGAGACTAGTCAATGGTGATCAACTAGTTTATTATCCCTGCAGAGCCTGTTTATGCACTCAGCTGAGCAATCAACACCTTTGAACATGTTTGTCTGCTAGCGGAGCACCTTTTAAACAAACATGCATGTAGCTAGCCTACCTTCTGAGCATGGTGCTTCATAAGATCAGTCAGAAATGACTATCTTCGCAAAACCAACTGCTTGATAAAATTGGAATTTCGAGTGGAACTGGTATTGAAGTAGCTGACGAGTTCAAAAGATCACCCTGCAGTTTATTGCCGGTAGTAAGCATTGAGGGTTTACAGTTAAGCTAGAGAGAGATTCATCAATTAAAAGTTTATTTGAAAGTGTAATTACATTGTTTTTTAAATAATTTTTTATGTATTAATTATTATTATTTATTTTTTAAAAATTATTTTTAATATCAATACATCAAAAATATTAAAAAAAAAACACTAATAAATAAAAAATAAAAATATTCAAATTTTTTAAAAATATTTTTCACACATAAATAAACAGCATATAGCTGGCGAGACAGGCTCCCCTGGGAAATGGCTCTTCCATTGTTTAAGCTTCTTGCTTCCCAGACACCCTCGTGCGTTTAGCAAATCAATTGGCTGCGTGCCCCAAAAAAACTTGCAGAATCAAACTGAAACTGGTGATGTCTCTTGGAGAAAGCAATTTATGCTTTTCAACATATAAAATAACCTCATTTCATCCAACCGAGAACAGTTCCGCAGAGAAAAACTTCAATTCTTTTACTACCGGGATTAAACACAAAAAAATCAACATCAACAAAACAATATATCAACCCTGATGCTGTGTGGAACCTCCCAACGCAATGGGCCAGTGCAATGACCTTCCCGCTTTACAATGAACAGTATGAAAGTCCTGTGTAGTCTATAAACAAATGAAAACATGTGGACTGGACTGGACTGCTACTCATTTCCTCGTGATTCTGGTTTTAACACCACCTGAAATGCACATAAAAAGGGATATGAACAGAAGGCTTTACGAGCACATGTGACGGATTTACCTGATTACTATGTAATAGTGGGTACCTGTATGACAGTTGTTATAGAACAATTAGCCTATAAGATAAAAAATAGTTTCAGGTTATAGAAGCACGGACCTTCAACTTCCTCGAACTGGATTTCCTTTACCAATTCAGCATCTGCATTATACTCAAAGCTGCAAAGGTAAGCGGCCTAATCAAGTCAGACTTCAGTGAGAGCATTATACAGAACAAATTTCAAAAGTAACTCAACCTGCACGGAGCGGGGAAAAGAAAGTGGGGGTGGAGGAGATATCAAGTAACTGATAGCCTTCCTACCACTGATCTTTAAGCAATCTCATGTTTGCAGATATGTTATAACTTGCATACACTATAGGGCCAAAGCACGACTATTCTCAGTGCTAACAGTCATCTCTTCCTCTAAAATTAGTCAGAAAACCTCTCTGTCACCTCTGATTACAGAAGGACAAACATTTCATATCCAGTCACTTGACTGTTTTTATAAGCTAAATTCCCCGGTTATGCACATGTTTGTATTTAACAAACTGGCTTTGAAAATCAATGGCATAGGCATTATACAAAGGACAGTACCAAAGATTCATTTATGATAAAGCAATGAGCATCTATTACAACAAACCAAAATCTGGATGTAGCATGGATAAATGGATTATAAAATTAAACCTTAATTATCCTTCAATAAAGTATCTGTTTAGGATCATCTAAGAAACCAAAGGAAAAGTAAAACATTGAATACTAATGCAAGAACAGTGAAAGATATCAGTTCATTGATTTTACCTATTGGAAAAAACCACCTCAAGTTCAAAGTCAGAAGCACTCTTGGTAGCTTCAACTAACACTGCAACTATTTCAGTCTTTCGAGTGCTGGCCATGAGAAGATCATACTCTGTTGGAATGATAATTGCAAGGAAATTATCACTTAATTCACTCAAACATGTCTTTTCTACAGCTGCCAGAGCTATTCGTCGTTTAAGTGCATTAGTCTCCGGGTCAATAATGTAAAGGGCAAAGTCAGTTATTAACAATATGCGGTGTTTCATCTTTCCTGATGCAGTGAATTTCAAAACTTTATCAGCAAAGAGAACCTGCTTATCACCTGCAAAAATAAAAATGATGAAAGTTTAAAGATATATTAAGCTAGGAAGGGTGTTTAAATATGTATCAGGTTAACAAGCTAAGTCTTCCCTGAACTCTGAGATGGGATTGAGGTTTAAAGGACACCAATGCTCCAAGTCAATTTCTGAGCATAATCCTTTCATTCCAGAATCAATGCTTGCTACTTTGTGTTGGTTCAGGGGGTTGAAGGACTTGATTTTATCATTAATGCCTATGAACCCCGAATGTTTCAGGCCAGTACATGGATCAGATGCAGCCAAATTAGCTGCTTATTCCTCCCCAGCCTACTTGAACATAAAATAAATTGTAATTTGGTATTTGTCTCTAACCAATGATATATTCTAAGATGGTGCGTGGAATCAATATTAAGGAAGACACAGATGCATACCATATGAGTATTTTCTAATTTTCTCTTTTTATTGAAATTGAAATGAAATATAAAAATTTCCATGAAAAAAATAATGTTTATGAACAGTAACTAAACTATTCTTGAAAAGGAGAACAGAGAAGCCCCAAGACTTGTAAATACTCAGGTCATAAACTGCAGGGAACAACTTTTACCAACAAGAAAGCTAAGACCATTCTTCAGTCTAAGAATTCCTGATTCTAGAACCATTCTTTCCAAGTCAACAAAACAATGATGTCTCAACAAAATTTATCACTATGTTGACGCTTATAGACTTGTTGTCATAAACTGAAGGCAACAACTTTTACCAGCAAGAAAGCTAATACCATTCTTCAATCCAAGAATTTCCAACATTCTAGAACCATTCTTTCCAAGTCAACAAAACAATGTTGTTTCAACAAAAATTATCACTATTTTGACACTTACAGGAACCGATCCAACTAATTCGGCACGAAAGCTTTGAATACATGGCCTTAAACATTGTGCAATCAACGAAGACTGCCCATCATCAACCTCAACTAGCTAAGCACACAAGCTTATTAAATTCACTTGAAGTATTTCTAAAACACGAAACCAATCTTGATAAACACAAGATTCAACATAGTTGATTTCTAAACTAAATGTTCTCACATAAAATATTTAGCATTCTCTAACTACACAATATCAACAAGAAAAACAAAAAAACCAGAGCAAAATCAAATAAATAAAACAAAAAATAATTACAAACCCACTGGCCATTTACAAAGCAAGACCTCTAGGACTACTTTAAACAGATTAATGACCAAAAACAACGAAGTCTCAGAAATCAATTATCAGTTCAAAAACAAAAAATACCCAGAAAAGTTATAAGAACTTGAAAAGGACTGATAGACTGACCTTGTTTCTGAAAAATCTTCATCAAGTACGAATGAGAAAGAACATCAAGATAATCCCCTTTAATATCTCTATGACGCGAAGCTTGTCTTAGAACTTTAACACCCGTGACTGGTTCTTGATCGTCACTCACATTGCTCCCTGTTGTGGTTAGTCGCGCTACTCCATTATTATCACTATAATCTCCTTCTTCTTCTGCTGCATCGTCGTATTTGGGGAGTTGTAAATCGGGGATTTGGACTCGCCGGTTGAATCTGCTCATGTTGTGAGCGGTAGCTTTTGGGGGGCGGTGAGTTCCGGTGGGTGGCTAAGTTGGTCCGGTTTATTTGGTGGGCTGCATGTGCTTTTGGTCTGTAGCCTCACGCTAATGCTTTTCATGCAATTTTTTTTTTAATTTTTGGGGGCTTTTTTTAATTAATTGACTAAAAATCAGTGTTTTTTTAGCGGTGAGTTCCGGTGGGTGGCTAAGTTGGTCCGGTTTATTTGGGGGGCTGCATGTGCTTTTGGTCTGTAGCTTCACGCTAGCCAAGTTCGGTTATTGGCTGGGCTAGCTATTTTATTAGGATACAACAAAAAAAAAGAGGGTACATGTTTTTTTTTTAATTTTTTGGATTAGTATAAAAAAGAAATGCCATACAAATAGAAAAAATATGCAAAATAAATAAAATATTCTATTTATATAGATTTTTTCCATGCTTAATATTACATTGACAATTCTAATCAATGATATTATGATAGTTGTCAATTGAAAACTAGACACACTACATAATATTTAACATGATTCAACAAATTATTCACGTTCATCAGTAAAATCAATATTATTAGAGATTAATAAAGAAAAGGTTACAACACACAAAAAAAAAATCATTTCACTCAAACTCGATTATTATTATTTTAACATAAATATGGCAATAGGACTGCTACCTAGCCACTTTTCTTTTCTTCTCTTTACTTCACTGTCAGTTTCTCTCAACCTTTGCTCTTCAATAATATCTTTGTTTATAAACATCAATGGTAAGTTTCTTCAAATATTTATCAACATGAAAAAGATAAGAAAACCATAGACAAGGTTAATTCACTCAAACTCAGCTCTCATTTCTTTAACATAGACATGACAATAAGGTTGTTGTCCAACCACTTTTCTTTCTTTTTTATTTTCTTCTCTTCTCTTCACTTTTACTCTCTCAATCTTTGTTCTTCAATAATATCTTTATTTATAAGTATTAATGGTAAGTTTCTCTAACATATTTGTCAATATGAAAAGAACAAAAAAATCACCAAACATGGCATTAATTATGCCATAAAATATACTTCCACTTTATATCAAGTGGGTGATGAATTGTTTTACTTGTACAAAATAAAAGTAAATTATTTGCCACAATAATAACAATATCATAACATATTAAAATATTACAATTTCATCTACCCACCATATAATATGTTACATTATTATTCTCACATGTCTTATTTTATTTTATTTCTAAAAAACACCATGTTTTATTAAAATATAAACGAACATACATGCTTTATATTTTTGTTAAAATATAAACAAGATCATAATTTCGGTCAAAACAAGTCTATTTTTCCTTTGCCAATTAAAAGAATTTATTATATAGGAAAAGGTGTCCTTGACAATTTATATTATCAATTTAATAACATTATAATGACATATAGGGGGTCAAAATCAAATTGAAATATTATTGCTAAATGGATGGTGATTCTAAGGGTTTTAAATATGTATTTAATATTATTATATTTTTTTAAAATAACTGTTTTTAGATCCTTTCGGTCTAAAATTAATGTTTATTAATGTCTTTTTTGGTTTAAAACTAGAGCATGTGTTTCTTTTAAAAGAAATTGCTTTATTTTATAAACAAAGCAAGATACTTTTCTTATTAGGTATTATTTTAATTTAATTAAAATGATATTTTTTAAAAAATTTAATTACATGTAAAAAATATGCTAGTATTCTACTTCTTTTATTTCAAATTTTATTTTATATATCATTGATGTTTTTGAAATATTGACCCTATGTTTGAGTGTGTGTATTACCATCTTATTTTAAAAAAAATTACTTTACTAAAAAAATTATACACATATGTAGTATAAATTTAAGAAACCATATATTATTTAATATAAATAAAACATATTTTTATATTATTTTTAATATGTTATAGTACTTAATAGTCATTTTATAATTTTAACCTTTTTATATTTCTTTGATTACAAAATATGATATTATTTTATATGATTTTATTTCAAATTTATATTTTATATCATTGATTTTTTTTGAAATAACATGTCTATATGAGTGAGAGAGCGTGTGCATTATCATCCATTTTTTTTTAAAAAAAAATAAGAATCATTCCAGTAAATACACACAAATACACATGTCAATATAAATAAAATATATTTTTAGAATATTTCTAATATACTATAATACTTATTAGGCATTTTATATTTAAAATAACAGTAGAAAAAATAACCAAATACTATTTAGTTGTTTTAAACATTCATAAATATATATAAAAAACCCAATTATTAAGCATTATTTTTACCCTCACAATATAGTATTGAGCAATACAGAGTAACACAACAACCACATCACAATATAGCATAAAAATTCCAAACAATTCCTAAAAAAAATAATATCCCAACTTGATATTTCCATGTCAATAAGAGTTTATGAAAAATATAGGTATTTTTTATAAGAAAGTGTTTTATGTATCAAGATTTAATTAAGGTTTTTGTATTTAATTTTTATATTTTTTTGAACAAGGAAATATATAAAATCTATTTTTTTATATATGAAATTGTTTTAAAAAAATCGTGCTTTCCAAATTTAGAAACATTACGAACTCATTGTTATTCTTCTTTATTTCCAAGGAAATAAAGGTAAAACGACGACATATTACGGTCAAGCAGTCACCGCCTCATAACGAGTTGACCATGGCACAAGACTAGAATCGAGCCAGAACGCGTCTGGAGGGAGCGTCGTTGACGCCGTCCATGCCAAAAAGACCAGAGAAAACGACACGGCACGGGTAAATATATTCCTTTCATTCAAAAAATAAAAACCTTACACGTCACCGTAATGGTAACAGAGAATCTCTACGCATTAATTTTTCCTTTTCCCTTTTCTTATACGTCAATCCTATCCACCGATAAATATTCAAACAGTGACAACCAGCGTTAATCACCACCTTCAGGTATTTGAAATAAAAGGCAACTTACAACTAAGTCCTCTATTCACAATATATATCTCAAATAAGTCCTTAAATCATAGTTTTGAAACCCAGCCTGACCAATGGGCCGACTCGAGACTCGGCCAGCTTGAGGATGGAACTGGACTAGATTGAAAAAAAAAACCCAACAACCCAGCGACCCAGCAAAACTCGGTCAAAAATTCAGTTGCAATTCGTTGACTTTTATTTTTTTTACTAAAATAATTTTATTTTGATTTTTTTTTTACCCGGGCAACTAGTGACTCGATCAAAATCCAAAACCCGGGTCTTAAACCGAGTAGCCTACCAGACCGGATCTAAAAATTATACCCAGGCAACTAGTGACTCGGTCAAAATCCAAAACCCGGGTAGCCTACCAGACCGGATCTAAAAATTATGCCTTAAACTATAATTTTTTACAATTTTACAATTCAATTTATCAAATTACTGCTTCGAAATAAATTCCATCACTAGATCCACCCCTGGATTTTTTGAAATCCAATATAGTCCCTACATTTCAGGTTTGTTTTCTTATTTGTCTTTTAAAATTTATTAATAGCCCCCTTAAAAAAATTTAAATCTCGACAATATCCTTCAAATTTAATGATAATTCTTACATGCCCCCTTAACAAAACTCTCGTCCCATTAGCAGGATCTCCTTACTCCTATTAAGTGAAGGAGATGAGAGGAGGGGAGTTAAAAAAAACCCAGGTTTTATTAGGTGTGAGCAAATTAACCGAAAAATTGATCTAACTTAGAAAATAAAAAAATTAATTAAAAAATCAAATTGATAGAAAAACCAATTGAACTAGTTAAAATATTTAGAAAGATATCTAGTTTGGTTTGGTTTCTGGTTTTGATGTAACTGAACCAGCCATCCCAAATAGAATTGGTTTGGTTTAGGAATGAAAAAAATAAACCAAGTGGTCCAAGTCGCAGACTGTATCCTCTTGTTACTTTCCCTTTCAACAACCAGGGCATACCATTTCAAATTCATCTATACTTTCCTTTCACACAGTTGCCCCCTCCCCTCTAACATGGTTTCTAGTTTTGAACCTCAAAACATTCCCTCCTCTCTCCTTCTGAAAATCCATCACTTATGATAAAAAAAAATTCTAATCTTCTTGTCTTTAATCACGTCTTTGAGTTGTCTAATAGCGTTGACATAGCTGCTACAAACATGCCTGCAACCTCATTCACTAATACTTCTAGGCTTCAAGAATCTCAACAAAATCTTTTACTTGAACGGAAATATGACTATATTGTTCATGATGTGTTTCATCGTTGGTCTATTGTTGCTACTGACAATGTTGGCATTCCAAGAATTACTTTCAATGGAAATAGATGTTTCGCTCGTTGTATCTGAGAAAATATGAAACGCTATAAGCCCTATGAGAAAGTAACTTTTGATTTGGAGCTTTTTATTATTCCAGGTCTTTTTGATAGAATTGAATTGATCACATCTCAACTACTAATCTTTGAAAGACAATCACATGGTAAAGACCAACAGACCGAAGATACAAAACACAAACCGAAGATACAAACCTTTGACCATATTATAGGAATAACCATAATAACCATAGGTTTTTCTAGTTTTAGACCTAAAAAAGGAGCCAAAAAGGAGCTAGAAAAATAACTACATATTTTTCCGGTTTTACATCTCAAAAATCAAACCCAAACCTAACCAGAATTGGTCGATTTTGACCGGTTCTGGTTTGATTTGGGTCTTTTTTGTTTTTTTAATGGTTTGGTTGTTTTCTAAAGGTAAAAACTGAATCAAACCAGAAATGATCACTCCTAAGTTTAATAAGGAGTGCTTGAAAATATAGTAATGATTGATTTTTAAAATATTTTTTATTTAAAAATATATTAAAATAAATATTTTTATTTTTTAAAAAATATTTTTAACATAACCTTCAAAACAATTTAAAAATATAAAATAATATTTTTAAGTAGTTTTTCTTAAAAAAAAATTAATAACACAATGTCATTTTAAGTGGCACTTTATAGTGCTAGACAACCCAAAAAGAGAATTGTATATAGAGAAACTAGGATCGCTATAGGCAATCTATGGATTATATTATTTTAGATTATTTATTTATTTTATTTTAATCTATATCTTGTTACATTTAAATAAATAACTTAACTTTATATACTCAATACGTTAATCATTAGTGCACAATAAATAATATATTTCTCGAGCTTTTAAAATAACATCTTAAATATTTCTTATAACAAATAAAAAGTTAGGTTTTGTTTATTTGCAGAAAAGTAATTTTTTTTAGAAAAATGATTTATTTGAAAAGTGAATTTCATGAAAGTAAATTATTTGTTGATATTTGGTAGTGTCATGAAAAGTAAGTTGGAAAACACTTTCCGGTGTTTGGTTATGCTATGGAAAATGAGCTGAAAATAGTTTATTAATGTTTTATTTTTTTTCAAGTTTATTAAAATAATAATAAAAAAATTTATAAATTAAAAAGTTGAATGAGAATGAAATTGAAAAAATTTTAATATCATAAATTATCTCAAATAAAATAAATAATAATAAAAATAATAGAGATCAAATCTAACATATAAAAAAATTGAAAGATAATGAAATTAAAATAATTATAATTATAATTTCATAAATTATTTTTTAAATTATTTTTTATCTTAAAAATATTAAATTAAAATTTTTATAATTTTTTTATTAAATCTTAAAAAATATTATTTTAAATAAAAAAATACTTTCATCATGTTAACAAATAAGAAAAACTCAAAGCAACAACCAATCAAATCGAAACCCACAATTAATGCCAAACAGCACAATTAATATACCAAAAGGAAAAATTCCAAGGCAGGACCTCATTTATTACAAAATAAAAAATAAAAAATTACAAATCACAAATGACATGATCAATTAAAATATAAATAGAAAGGAAAAAGAAACAACGAGAAACGATGCAACGACGAACATAAAAGCATAACGCGAGAATAGTACATATTTTGTCAACAAAGAAAAAGAAAATGTTTTCCTTATAATAAAAAACAAAAACACTTTCCTTGTACAAAACATATTTCTTTCATTGGAATTCAGTTTCCTTGACCCATTTTCCTTATCTTTACCAAACATGGGAAAGTAAGGAAAATAGTTTCCAGAAAAATAAATTCCTAAAAACAAACAAGACATTAATGATAATTGTGTATTTGGTATTGTGGTAGTTTTTTGTGGTTATGGTTTAAAAAAATTATTTTATAAAAAGTATTTTTAGTTGAGGTTAGTATGATATTTATATATGTTTGGCTAAAACTGTAGTTAAAATTAAGGTTAAACAAAAAATAGTTTAATATTTTTGGTTAATAATGCCTTTTAAATCGAGGTTATAATATATATATATATATATATTGTTACAGTACGAGTGAATTTAATTCACTTTACACTAGTTTTTTTTAAAATGTTAAAAAAATAGACACACTAAAAAAAAAACTATTCACGTAACCAGTGCAAGTGAATTGCACTGTTCATTAAAACACTGCTAAAAGAATAGTAGCTTGGAGATGCTTCTGCAAAACCATGGTTCAAACGTGAATTATAATGGGTCCTATAAAAAATAAATTATGTTTTTTTTATGTAACCAAACGTTTGTATTGCTATGGTTGCTTCAAACACATAAGCAATCACGCAAACAAATGGACTCTGAAAAGATAAAAAAGCTATTTAATAAAGTGATATTCAATATTAGTATTAAAGGGTGTAGCTCAAGTGGTCAAACTCTAGATTTACTATCTAAAAATTATTAGTTTGAGTCTTGCAAATCTTAAAATCACCGGAAAGTTACATGGTCGTTAATTTCAGGGTTCGTAAGATTAGTTAAAATACACATAAACTGCTTCAAACACCCACGTTAATAGAAAACAAAGTGTCCAATAATGACCATGAAGAGTGTAACTCAACTGGCTAGACTTTAAGTTTGCTACACAAATGTCATCAATTTGAATGCCATAAATCTCATAACTATTAAAAACTTATTTGGTCGTTAACTTCAAGATTCAGAGAATTAGTAGAGATGCATATAGGCTGACCCAAACACCGAAAGTTATAAGAAGAAGAAGATCGTCTAATAGTGTATTAACTTTTATTCCTGTAAATGTTATAAAAATTTACTTTTCTTAAAAAATATCAAATTAATATTTTTTTTATTACTATTTTGATGTACTAGTATAAAAAATAAAAAACAAATATCAATTTTATTTTGATGCACTAGTATAAAAAATAAAAAACAAATATCAAAAAAATTATTCTAATATATTTTTAAATAAAAAATATTTTTAAAAATATTTCATCCCACGATACTAAATCCACATAAAGACTACAAATAAAAAAATAATTTATGTTTTGAGCAAGATAAGTCAAAACTCTAAAATTTTCAAAAAAAAAACTTATACTTCAATAGAGTTTCATTAGAAAAGACTAGTAAAGTTTTCATAACCTTTTTTAATTGCCAAGATAGAGATAGCCATTTGAAAAAAATAAGGTAAATTATTCTTTAAAAAAACATTTGAGATTTCCTTTAAAGTAAACTAAAAGGTAGAGATTAAAAAATAAATTAAAGTAGAAAAAAATGACAAATCCATGGAATTAGAGACCATCATTAATAGGGGATTCAAGATTTGAGAGAAATACGGAGGAGTTATAAAATTATTTTAGAAAAGGCTTTACAAAACTATAGCATAAAATATATTTAGTGATTATAGCATAGTTACCTTGTTGCTCCTTCTTTGATGAGGCATGTGAACTGACAAACAATGCTAATTCTTATTAATTGGAAACTTGAATATTGATTTATTGCACTCTGGTGGTACATTTGCAAGGAATCTTTAGTTGGATGACTAATTTAAAATATTCACCATATTAAGAGGACCAAAATGTAATAACAATAAAAAAACAAATACAAAAAGGTAAGATTATATTCGGCGGCTACTTTCGGCGAAGAATAGAGGGCAAGGTAACGTATAAAGAACGCGTACTATAGTAGCATGGGACCATCCCCATCCCATCCGCGGTTTGGGTGTTTCGAATAGTTTTTTCTGAATTAATTTTTTTTTAAATATTTAAATGTGTTAATATTAAAAAATTAATTTTTTAAATAATAAAATATTATTTTAATATATTTTCAAATAAATCTTTTTAAAATAATTATTACAGCTATTTCACACAGTACAATCACAATGTACACGCACCTTATTTATTAATTAATATTAAGAATTAAAAAAAGGACGGTCCACAAATTAATATAAAGTCCTTTACCCAGCTGAATCCTTTAATTTCATTCTTTCATTTTCTTCTCTCTATCTCTATTTTTCCTCTGAACAACCAAATCTCATAAATTATTTTAAAAAAACCCGTTATTTTCCCGAAGGAGGATCAATCCGGTGCGCCTCTATTCATTTTTTTTTAATCTTATGGTCATGATGATGGTTTAGAGAGGATCGATCTTGAGTTGAGAGATTTCATTTGTTGTTGATGATGATGGTGATGAATTTTGTGTTGTTTGTTTTTTTAGGTTTTTGCAGGTGAAGAAGAAGAAGAGATGGCATCGAAACGGATCTTGAAGGAATTGAAAGATTTACAAAAGGACCCCCCTACTTCATGCAGCGCCGGTATTTAAACTTTTTTCGCATCTATAAATTTTTCTTTATTTTGTTTTTTTAGCGTTTTGGTTGATCTGATCTCTTCGTTGCGTGCTTAGCTTTTTGTATATATAATTTTTTCTGGAATTTATGACGATGATGATTTTGTTGATAGTCCAAGCATGCGTGCAATTGAATAATACTGGCGATGATTAATTCTGACCGATAAGCTTAAGTATTTAAGGCTAAAATCCGATGCTTTTAAGGGAAAGCCAAAAATAATGTTGAAATTTTGGTTGATTTTTAGTAATTATGGTTGAAAACCGCAGGGTAAAACATGAAGATACATATTATTTGTTTGATTTGCTTTTTCAAGGTGTACGAGGAATTAAAAGCTAATTTTCATTGATTATTTTCATTTTATGCTTTTTTGTTGATTTGTTTGCTTTAATTATGGGCATGTTGAAGGTCCTGTTGCTGAAGACATGTTTCATTGGCAAGCAACAATTATGGGTCCTCCAGATAGCCCTTATGCTGGTGGTGTTTTCCTAGTTACTATTCATTTTCCTCCAGACTATCCATTTAAGCCTCCCAAGGTAAGTTTTTGCTGCTTGCTACGTGCAAGGCATAATGTTTTTTGTCTGAAGAAGTTCTTGTCTATAGAATAAAGTTCATGCACATTTAAAATATACTTGAAATTGCTGACCCTTGTAAACTTGAATTACTTTCGTTTGTCCCTCTACTTTTCCCCTAATTCCTAGTGTCCCACAATCATGCTTGAAGCTTCATTGGCACCGATTTCCCCCTCTACCTTGCAAGATGTCTCAGGTTCCAGCCTCCCCTTTGTATAAGAAAAGGTGTCATGCGGTCATGGAATAGCTATCTCCTTGTTTCCTTCCTCACCTCTTTGCTCCCCCCCCCCCCACCCCAAATCTCTTACTCAATTTGCAACAAAATTGAAGAAGGATTAGTATTGAATTTATTCTCATCAGAAGCTGATTCATTCTGACACTAAGGCATCTCGTGTGTGAATATTTGCAGTAGGTCAAACTTTTCGTATTTTTTCTTAAATCAGCAGCACAAACAGAGGGGGCTAGATGAACTATAAGCATGGAAACCTGATTTCACAGTATAAGCACTAGCCAGTTTAATAGGACCTAACTAAAGACACGATACAATTCTATGCCAAGTCCTCATAAAATGACATAAGATGTGAAGTTTATGTTAAATGACTAGGCTCCTGCATCAAAGGCTTGTGTGTCAAATCTCAACTTTTATTGTGATTTCAGAAAAACAGGTCTTGTTTTCTAATCACTCATGAAGGAATTCTAGCATTAATGAGGGTATATCACCCAAGCTTAAGTCAGCTAAATATGAAATAAATGATATTTACATAAAAAGGTTTAAGATATGAACTGCCCTGATTGAATGGTTGTGCCTCTGCTAACCCTGCTTCCATGCACAATATGAAATTTAACTTTATGTTACTTCTGTTTGTTTGGTGACTTAAGCTTTGGAGTTTATCTGACATTCCATTTGTTGGTATTTGCTGAGTAGTTTTAGCTTCCTTCTTTTTATGAACGCCTCATTGTATTCTTGGTTTCTGTTTATGCATCTCATTCTATGCTAACTATGATTTCTGCGTATGCAATTGAGAAGTCAATCTTATCCAGTTTTCTATATGTGTGTGATTTTGTTACATGTATGCATCTTTCAGGTAGCATTCAGAACAAAGGTATTCCACCCAAATATAAATAGCAATGGAAGCATTTGCCTGGACATTTTGAAGGAGCAATGGAGCCCTGCTCTAACCATATCTAAGGTTCGACTTCTATAACCCTTAAAACATCTTGGAGTTGAGAAGAAAGTGTCATTGAGTGTGTTTGTTTTTGAGTTCAAAAGGTGTTTTTGAAATTTTTTTATTTTTTTGCTTTAAATTATATATTTTTTAATGTTTTTGGATCGTTTTGATGAACTGATATCAAAAATAAATTTTAAAAAATAAAAAAAAATTATTTTAATGCATTTCCAAGAAAAAAATACTTTGCAAAACAACCGAAATTACAATCCCAAACACTATCTTAATATATTTGTGTTAGTCCAACATCATTTTTATGCAAGAAAGGGACAATTGTTTCTTACCAACCATTGATGTGTTGATGTATTAAAAAAATCCTTCACAATAAATAGAGATAAGAGGAATGCTGGCACAACATTGTCTTTTTAGGTGTTTATTTTATTATTACTTTCCAATATGAGAAGTCTATCCTATTGGTTCCAAGGGTTCGTGTAATTTAGTCTTTTTTATTATGCAAAACTCTAAACGTTGTGGGAGGGAAAAACATTGTGCACACAAACACAATTCATGCTCTCACATTTTACTTTAGACTCACTGTGCAAAATTTTTCCTTTTCTTTTAATTTTGGTCCTTAAAGTTTTTTTGTTGCCCGGTTGTATATTTTTTGGACCAAATTAAAGGACATTTGAATTAAATTTATTGAATAAGAACAAAATTGAAAAAAGATGCTAAAGTAGAAAAGACATCACAAATGAGTAATGATTTCAAAGTTCTTATAAAAGTTTAATTTAGTCTTCAAACTTTTCAAATTATACCTATTTGGTCCATCAATATTTTTGCAATTTAATTTTGGTATGAAAGCTTGTTTTTATTATTTTTTAGTTCTTAATTTGAGATAGAAAATCAATGTTGATATTAATTTTAGTCATCAAAATAATTGATTTTGATGTTAATGAGTTTTATTTGATGATGAGAGTTTCATTTAAGTATTTTTCACTTTCAAATTGCCTAAAAAATTAGATACAAGCTCGAGAAGGTTTTTTTATCGGGTTGATTTTGGTTTTGTGTGGTTTTTTAAGGCTATTTATGGGTTTATTAAAATGTTTAGGTTTTTTTCTAGGTATTTTTGGTTGGAAAAACGGGTCTCTATGAAAAAAAAATGAATCTGAATCTTGGTGGTTGGAGTATGGGGAAATACACGGACAACATGTGTTTGATCCATTAGCTTAAGGGTCACCGTGCTGGGTCTTTTGGAAATGGGTCACACATGTCGGCCTTTTTTATTTTTTTTTAATGTTTGCTTTTATTTTTAATTTTTTTAAAATGATATTTTTTATAAGTTTTTTTTAAATAATTTTTTAATTTACATTTCAATCAAGGTTTTTTATTTTGTTTATTTAAGGTTTTTATAAATAGAGATTGTTTATGATTATTTTTTTTATATAGATGAATTTTATTTTTAAAAATAAAAAATATTTAGTTTTGGATAGTATTTTTAATATGTTCATCATGGTATGATGTATAAGTATTTTTAAATAATCTATACAAATACTGTATTAGTTTACATTCCAGTTATTTACATTCCAATTAATACTTGCTTTTTTATCTTGTTAATTAAGCTTTTTTTTAATAAATAGAGATTATTCTAATTCATTTATGAATTTTGTTTTTGTTTTAGAGAGATGAATTTTATTTTTAAAAATAAAAATATTTATTTTTGGATAGTATTTCTAATGCGCCTATTATTGCGTAATATTTTTTTATTCAATTAATTTTATACTTCTCTATTTTTATTATTATTTGATTTAATAAAAAAATGATTTTAACAAACAAATTCATTAGACATATGGATAAATATAAATAGTTAGTGTTGTAAGATTAAATATCTTGATTTGTATCTGTTTTTTGATTTTATTTTTTGTTATTGTTTATGATTTTATTTTTCATTTATTAACTTAAATGGTTCTTGGTATATTTACTTAGATATACATAGGCTTTTCAGTTTATATTTAGGATTTAGGATTTCTTGTGTAAAATTACATGTCTTCAATTTTGTTTATTGTAAAAAATTATCTGATCTGCGGTGTAGTGCTGTTCGAATAACTAGTTGCATTCTAGTCTTTGTTTAGAGCCCAGCCTGCCCGCCCCCACCCCCCCCTCCCCTTTTGACTGTTGAATTGCTAGTTCTTTTTGGTGATGATGCAAAGCGTGTTGTGTTTCTATGTGTAGGTGTTGCTCTCAATCTGTTCTTTGTTGACGGATCCTAACCCCGATGATCCACTGGTGCCGGAGATTGCTCACATGTACAAGACCGACAGGAACAAGTATGAGACAACTGCAAGAAGCTGGACCCAGAAGTATGCAATGGGCTAAACAACGGACCTGTGGTGTGTGCAATGGAGAGCCCCTCCCCCCTTCTCTTTGTTTCTTTCCCCTATGTATCCATGCTTGCTGCTTGTTCTCTCTTCATTGTAAACGTGGGCAAAACTGGCCCTCAACAACGTCCCAAATTAAAGAAGAAACGACTGTGTTTCTTTCCGTCCCATGGATTAATCTGACACCATGAATCGTGTCAAATTTAGTGTGTCTCCTTGTAACCTCCAAAATCTTTAGTGGGTTCTCCTGCTTGTATGATTATTTCCTTCCTTCTTTTGTTTTGCCTCCTGACATGCCCGCATCGCGTTGGTGGGGTTTTTTATTAACCTGTCTTGGTTCCGATTCACGGCGGACTGTCGCTGAATCCAAGTGGCGATGATGCCACCACTTGGCGTGCATCAGCATGGGTTGGAGGTTTTAAAAAAGTAGGCTCAATACTTGTACCAGTCCTGACAGTGGTTGTTGAGTTAACTCACTGTTATTAGCTCAACTCAGGGCAATTATTTTCATTTTTTTTTTAAAATATAGTTTGTTTAATTTGGATTGATTTCGGGTCACAAGTTTGAGTTAGAAATTCTTTCAAGGGTTAACCCATTTCATTAAAGCCTGGGAGTCTTGCTAAGAGTTTTAATTCAACTTCAATTATAATAAGTTTGGTAGTGTATTGATATGATTAAGCGTCTGTTTGATTTTTTTTCATTTAAAAATATATTAAAATAGATATTTAAAAATAATTTTTTATATTAGAATATCAAATTGATGTAAAAAAATAAGAAATAAAATTTTATTTTAAATAAAAAATTAAAATTTTTGGAAACCAAACCTCCCTAAACGTAGTTTCACAACCATGGATATAAAAGTAATGAAATTACGGACAATGATTTACGTGGTAATTTCCGAAGAGAGTTAATACCAGTAAAATTTAAAATGTTAGCTTTGCATAGTTCAAGAAAATGTTTGGCACAGGCGCGGGTACAAATCAATGTTCCTTCCATCATATCCTACATAAGCAAATGTTGTTTCTCCCATGCTATCATATAATATAGTTGATGCATGGAATAAATTTACCATTTTACAAAACAGTACACGCTTTTTAATAAAATTGTAACGGCTCTAGTCAAAGACAAACCTAAAGGCAGCATTAATGACATTTTCTTGGCTTTTAAACCCTTTTTAAGGGCACTTAACCTCCCCTCCTAGTGACTCTTAGCCATATATTTATTGGCTATTAAACCCTTTTTAAGGGCACTTCACCTCACATCTTATTGAGTCTTTAGCCATCTCTTTTCAGTCCTACAAACTTTGTTAACTCTATGTGGCTACCATTGGATTGATGGGTTTTTTCTTTCCCTATATATATATATATAATTTCCTCTTTTTTTTCTTACTCTTTATATAATTAACAATAAATATTCTTCCAAATTAAGTTGTGATTTTCCATGATAGATTGATCCACCATCATCATGGAAAATCACTTCTTTATCACACTGCATGAATTTAAAAATTAATAAATTTAACAAAGTCAATATTCTTTCTTCTTCTTCTTCTTTTTTTTAGAATAAATCTCAGTAAATATGATCTTGAGTGATCTGCATTGAGTTCTTAAGTGAACTTTCATCTAATGCAGATGATTTTCTAAGATTGTATTTATGATTTCCTTACATTAATAATTAAGTGGATGATATCGAAAGGCCAAGGTCAAATTCTGGCATGTAATTAAGACGGAATATAGCAAGATGTTCCTTCTTCACTGTGCATGCATATCATCACCAGAGATCTTCATCTTTTTGAAGATCTTGCAAGTAAAAACGAATGCTGGATCTTGAATTGTTTTTGTTAATCAATTCAAAATTTGACTGACTAAAACTCATACTTATATCAAGCCCGCTTCAAGTTACCCGGCTATGAATTCATGAGATTTTGCTACGCCAAGGAACACTGTAAAAAAAACGAAGAAAAAAGAAAGTGAGAAATATTATAAATTAAACCACATATAATTAATTTAACACCACATCAACTGTATAACCCATGTCAGCTAGCGGTCATTAGCAAGTCCAGAAGGCAAGAACTGAAACCATGCTTTGGAATTAAAAAAAACCCTATATATATATATTCTTGTTCCCCATAAAAGACCAGCCCCATATAACTTTAGGGTTTTTTTAAGCTAGGTCGCGGAGGACATGGTGAACCATGTCGTTTATTATATGTTTGTATGCATCGTTTTACAATATCAAATGATACGTGTCAGGTCTTCAGACCAGACATAAGTGAAAAATCCTAGTCCAAAGTCCAGCTCTAGCAAGCTAGAGAAGATTAAAATAATACCTCCATGTAGGTCGTGCCCACGAGTGGGAGAGAGCATGGCCCCTGGAAATATGGTTTTATTGAATATAATTTTAATCAAATCTGAGTTTGAAGGGACCAAAAGAATAGAAAACAGAAAGAGGTATCTGAGCTTCCGTGTACTTGGAGATTTTTCTCTAGTGAAGACAAGGCACAGAGCTGAAAATCATATATAATCTAACATCCCACTAAAAATGTTTTTGGCTGTGGAAATGTTTTGAGTGTCAGATTATGAACTTAGTACTTCGGTTGCAAAGAATCTTTAATTTAGCTTCTAATTGGAGTTCAGGTGAGCAATCACTCACTAATTATTGTCTAAAGGTTCTCAGAATGTTCAGTGAGACATTATGGCTTATAATAAAATGTTAACTAGATTATGACACATTATTTGCAGACCATGAGAGGCTTTAAAGCAAAAGCCATGACATTTCCACATGTATCCTGGTAATACAATAACAATAATTAGGTTGACCCAACCAAAAGTTAGCTTGGATGGGCCAAATTCTCAGCCTAACAGAGCCATCCTTTATGATAAGCCATAAATAATGCAAATTATGTGTGATATGGATTAGCTACAAGTAACATGAATGAGCTAGAAATAAAAATAATACTTTTCATGGTGAGTTGCTCTATATTTATTTTCAAAGTAGGCTGTATATTCTTAAGTTTAGCAAAGGAGATGAAGATTTCTTTTTTTTCAATATCAACAACACTAAAAAACACTTCAACTATCTCTATATCTACTTTTCTTACACTATGTTTTCTTGAAAAAACCTTTAAACTAACTTCAGTATTGAAGGGTTATTTTATAAGCAATACCCATCATCCAACCTAGTATTATCCATAGAGAAAGCTCAAATATCCAATGAAATCTTCTCAACTTCTTGAATATTTGACATTGAGTTTTTAATCTGTTTTTTATCAAAAATTATTTTTTTATTTTAAATTATTTTTTTAATATTTTTAAATCATTTTTATAGGTTGATATCAAAAGTAAATTTTAAAAAATAATAAAAATATTATTTTAATATATTTTCGAGTAAAAAACACTTTAAAAAGCAATCACAACTATATTTTTAAACACCCCTTTGTCATCCCTAGAATTAGAAAAAATAAAATTAGATCACAAGAAAGAGATTAAGTTGTTGATGAAAATGTAATCATTCTCAAATCATTTGATCATTTAGAGATGCAAGTATAAATGTGAGAAAGCAATACTTTATATCAAAATTTTAATTAATTAATATTCTTGAAAGTCTCACTAATTAAAGCAATTTGATTGTTATTGAATCTGGGATTCACCTTAAACATGATTAGTAGAAGTTCATAAAGAAGTTTAAGAAAACATTATCTACCAAAATGGAAGTTCAAAACATAATTAAAAAGGTGGAATCTCTTAACCAATCCAACCATTCCCTATTTTTAGGGCTTTTTGGATACTTAAACTACTAATTATTACCAACCCAACATTTATTCTCTAATCTCTCAATTATTGTAATTAGAACTTAAAAAGAAAAGAGAGAGCATGCATTACCTCTACCTATCACCAAATCCCTGAAACCTAGTAACAAATAAGTGCATTCTGATTTCTACAAATTCCTCAATTTTAGATGACTCCCAACCAGAATTATTAAATCAGACTAAATTTTTAAAGCTTATGTCATAAAAGAGATTAATTTAGGTTAATTCAAAATAATATTATTTTAAAGATTTTTTTTAAAATCAAACTGTATTCAAACTAGGTTTATTAAATAACAAGATAATATATTAGATCAATAAATTATAATTAGATTATTTTAAACCCAATCTAAACTAATCCATGTTTACAAGTTATAAAACTAGAATACATTTTTAATAACTTTAGTCCTGACGAATGACCAAAAAGTGCAACTGTACTAATGTAAGCTAATAGGCATAAATAAAGTATGTCTTTTTAATAAATTTTTATATAGTTGCGGTGGTGAAGATAACAGTAATAAATAATAATAATAATAATAACCTTCATAGTTCCAAAACTTGAGCCACGTCACCCCCACATTGGCAAGCACACGTGCCTCTCTTTGGTTCCCGAGTGAAGGCTTAAACGGAGCCGGTCACCGGTTATTCAATAGTGTCAGTCGGTCTAGCTATTATCATCAATTCTCGAGACACCTCCACACAAAAGCTTATAAATTAATAGATATATTTACCATAGCTATATCTTATTTATATGTTTCTGCTCACACACAGAGTATCAGTACAAAATCTTGGACTTATTGGTAGGGGTGAGAAAAAAACCAAAAAACCGATTAAACCGATAAAACTGGAAAAAAAATAATTGAAAAAACCGAACTGAAAAAAAAACCGATTAAACCGATTAAAATTTTGAAAAAACCAGCC